GTGATATATGCGTGAGATTGAATACTATACTACTGATTGAATAGGATTTTTAAATTTATTATCGATATTGTACAGGGTTTTTTAATTTTCAAAATATTTTAAAAAAATAGTGGTCATTTTTAGCGACGGATTTTCCATCGCTAAATACATAATTAACAACGAAAAACAGACACGAAAAAATAAAAATAAAAATATATCTTTAGCAATGGATATTCCATCGCTAAAATGATTTTAGCGAAGAAAAACGGACACGAAAAAAATTAAAATAATAAATACACATTTTAGCGACGGATATTCTATCTCTAATATCTCTTTTGGCGACGGAATTTTCCGTCGCTAATACTTTTTTATTTTTTTTAAATATGGTGATGAAAAATCTGTCGCTAATATCCCGTCGCTGACAATTAGCGACGAAATTTCCATCGCTAAAGATGCAATTAGGGACCCTCAATATAGGAACGGTTTTTTAGCAACGGAATTTATTTTTTTTTCGTCGCTAAAAGTTATAGGGACGGAATTTAGACCTTTAGCGATGGAATTGTCCATCGCTAAAGGGTGTTAATCCAGTAGTGCAACAAAAATGATCGGCAACATCTCTAGATAAGTTCTCTAAGAGATTATCTATATGAAAAAGTAATAATCTATTCATTGAAGGGCATTTAACACTAATTAGCTCGATTTTAACCTCTATACATTTATACTTCCTGTCTTTTTTAAGCTACCAAAATGGCTAATCAAGGCAATGCATAAATCTTATTATGGGGGGAGAATCTATATCTTCATGTAAAGCTCTATAGAGCTTAGTCTGCAAACCTAAAAAAGAGGAGGGTTGGGTATCATTAACCTTTCTGATTTTAATCTTTCTCTTCTCTCTAAATAAATTTGGAAGGTTCTCTAAGGAGAGTCTACTCCCTCTATTCATCAAGTCTTCCTAACCTTAGTTGCACACCATCCAGTTTCTCTGCTTCTAAATTCTAGTGAGATGTTTATTCTAGCAACTTAGCTTTGAAGAGTTTAGTCCAATGGAAGTTAGGGAGTGGTCTTGCATAAGATTCTGGGAAGATAACTAGTCTATACTTAATTCATTGGCTTTTCTGTTTCCTCTGGCACACAATCTATCCTTCTCTGTCATTGTCAATGTTAGATCATAACGAATTATACATAATGGTCAATGGAGATGACACTCTACGATTAGAAGGCCTATTTCTATGAAAGAGAGGGATGAGGTCTTTGGTTTTTTAAACACACACCACAACACAGCACATAATATATTATCTAATATACATATATATATATATATATTATTATATATATATATATATATATATATATATATATATATTATTATATTATTAACTATTAATTAAATATATATATAATAATATAATATATATATAATATATATATACTATATATATGTATATATACTAGCGGGGTTTCCCTAGAATAAATATAATCTCCTTAGGCCCTAATAACTCAAAAACCAATATCATCCATTGGATCTAGATAATCCCAATGGCAGGAATCAGCAAACCGTCAACAGAAAAAAAAAACCAAATGCATTCAATTACTCTCAACGAACATATAATCTGCGATTTCACTGGCCAGTAAAAAGACGCTGGTTCGTATGAGTAATGAATCCGAATTCACTCAGTAGTTGAATTCTGGAATCCGTTGAGGAATGAAATCTGGATTCACTGCAGTTGAATCCTGGCCCTTTCACGTGCAGTGAATCTGGATTCACTGCAACGTGAAACTCTCTGATCTTCACCTGGGGCAGCGTGAATTCTGGAATCCACTGCATGTGAAGGATCGTCGTGCAGGTAATGATTCTTGGTTCAAACTGTAGAATCTTAAATTCACTACGTTGAATTAATTAATCGCATGTGTTCTTAATAGAGTAAATAATGCACTGTGTTTTGTTGACGCTTTATTGACTTGAATTCCTATCGCCATGGATTGAAGGAGGTTTTAAACAGTTTTAGGCTATAAGAGGTTTTTATAGAACCCCTCCCTATTATAATATTATTATAATATATATATTAGTAGTATAATATTAAGTATATATATATATAATATATATATATATAAGAAGACGCAAGAGAAGAGGAGAGTGAGATAGAAATGGGAGAAACCCCTTGGACCTAGTTGCTCCAATCTGAACTTTTATGGAACTGGATACTGGCCCCTATCATCAGAATGTACTGCACTTACTGACTCGACAACATAATCGCTCAATCACCACTTTTCACATATTCCAAATTAGATGTAGAACCCAGATCAATTTTACAAGATTCAAACAATTTCAAATAAGAGCAATTTGATACCAATTCTTACATCTCCCTCGGATAACATATATATGATAATAATAATAATATATATATTATTATATTATATATAATTATATATAAATTATATATTATAATTAAGTGATATAGGTTGACTCGCTCTATTTTTATTTTTACTATCAAAAAAAATGTTATCTACCATATTTATTGATGTAGATTTCTGTCAACATTAGTAGACAACTTATGACATTTAATGACGATGTGAACGGGAGACCTTGATCATGATGGGATACACAGAAATATTCAAGCACCCAAATTATGAACTTTCCTACACCACGTGTACATATTTAATTTGCTTGTAATAATATAAACTACGAAGTTTCCAATATCCTGTTGAAAAGTAAATAATTATCTAAGTTAAAGAAGCATCTCACCGACCTTTTTTTAATCAATCTCACCGATCTTTTTTGAATCTTCCATCAAGAATGGGGATTCAAGAGGCTACGGTCAGTCACAGAGCCATTTATTATTATCAATAATATCAATATTTCTATTTTTTTTCCCTTGCTTTTTTAGCATGTATAGCCCTGTGACTTGTCTCCTTGTTTATTTTGACTCAAAGTAATCTGCAGGATTGTCTTTCTTTTTCCTTTTTTTAAATACTTATTTTGTGGTTCTGTATTTAAATACAGTTCTTGTAAGTGCTACAGTAATATTTTTTTTAAAATTCTACAGCTTCTCGCTGAGCTACAGTAATAATGCTGCAGTAATGTTTTTAAACACTACAGTCCGCATATGCGCCAGTAATAATATTATAGTAATTCATGCAGCATGAACAGTGAAGCCTGGATCCTCCCGCCTGTGCTACAGAAACAATGCTATAATAATTTACTGTAGCATGAATAGTGAATCGTGGGTCCTACGGTTATTATAGAGGAATAAATATAGTAGATCTATTTGAAATTATCATTGATTTTATATGACTATGATTGATGTGCTCCTACATGTACATTAGATTTTTGGATCTGTGTAATTATAGATGCACTTGAAATAAAATACTGTA